ACCAGGCAACCAACGAATGAACTAACGAATTCCCTACCTGCCTACCGACCCCACCTACCTACCTACCTACCTACCTACCTACCTGCCTACCTGCCTACCTGCCTACCTGCCTACCTGCCTACCTACCTGCCTACCTACCTACCTACCTACCTACCTACCTACCTACCTACCTACAAATATACGTAGTTAGCATTGCATAATATATGTGCACGTGCACATAGACAGGTCCGTTCATCACATAGGCATGCCTACGTGCTGCTACGCATATGCGCGAGAAACTGAGCAGCCAGAAAAAAAATCGAAGGACTAGTGTGACTGATGTGCAAACCCTAAACCCTAAACCCCTAAACCCTAAACCCTAAACCCTATGGGCATTGGTCACATTCGCCTTCGGCTGCACTTTCGCCATTGGCGCGACAAGGGAGGTAAGTGTGCTTGTGCTCACGAGCCGAATTCACGTACTTGCATGTCTGAATGTGAGCCCCTATATAGCACCGCTGTACATGTGAGTATAAACACATGCTTAAGCACTGACTGTATACGTGAATGCTTCCTAGACTGTCTGGTGCTTGGTACGGAATGGGGGAATGGATCCCTATGATAGTCCCTCAAGGTCCCTTATAGTAGTCCCTATAACCCATTCCCCCATTCCCAAATAAGCACCAGACAGTAGATTTGACACGTAAGATGTATTTGCACAGATTAATACACAAACTCAGAGGCAGGTTTCTGCGCATGTAGGTGGGGAGGAGGGCTTCCAGCCAGGGATGCTCAGCAATGTCTGCCCAGAGAACCCCATACCCCATAATTAAGGAATATACCTTAAACTATAGGGGCCTGAATATTATGATTTAGGGTATATTCCTTAATTAAGGGGTATTGGGGGTTCTCTGTCTGTGCCGAATGGATCTCCAAGCATCCATCCAAAAGGTGCCGTCATCAGAGCCAGTTCGACCCAGCCGCTTCTCCAAAAGCCTGGGTGATCGATGATTGAATATGGGTAGTTGTCAAAAATTATGGTCCCCTTTGGGGTACCCTAAATAACAGGTGCCGTATTGTAATAGGACCCAAACAGGGACCCTAATTTTCACAACCACCCATATAAGACTAACGATGCTAACCAGCAACCCCTTCTGAATAAGGTTGCCCTTGTTTTGATCTGGATGGTTTGTGAGGAACCCCTAACCACAAAAGGGTAGACGAGTACTACTGGGGTAGCGAGTCAAGTGCTCACACGTTTGTTCTTCAGTAATGCTTCAATGCCAGTCATCCGTCAACCTCTTCAGCACAGTGGTTTCTTTAGCCATGAAGCTGTCTACTGCTCGCAGACCGCAGAAGGGGAGGGCATTATCGGGGGCAGTAAGAACTTGAACAAGGCTGGGCAAAAAGGGATGAATGATCGGATAAATATTAAGCAGTATACAGGCCTAAATGATGCTATTCCTTAGTCGTCTTCAAAAGACTATTCTAAACCCTAAACCCTAAATTTTAAGGAATCCGAAGAAATAGCATCTAAAAGACTATTGAAAAACCCTAAACCCTAAACCCTAAATTGTAAGGAATCCGAAGAAATAGCATCATTTTTTAGGCCCGTAGATTCCTGGAAGCGAGTCCGAGATCCGGGCTCCTTTTGAGCCAAGAGAGCATGGGGTTTAGGGTTTGGGGTTTAGGGTTCAGGGTTTGGGGTTTGGGGTTCAGGGTTTAGGGTTTGGGGTATAGGGTTTAGAGTTCAGGGTTTAGGATTCAGGGTTTAGGGCTTCTTAGGTTTTTTTCGAAGACCTTTTCCTGGGCAGCAATCCAAGAGAGCCTGTTTAGGCAGGTCTGCTTGCAAAGCCCTGTTCTTAGGGTTTAGGGTTCAGGGTTCAGGATCCGAGAAGCTCCGTCCACTGAGCAGAACTGTCGGACCACTCGCCATTCCACTCGCCCATGCCTTGCCAGGAGCACCACGACCGTGAGACAAACCGAATGCCGGAGAAAATCCCTAACGGTGCGCATCAAGACTGCTGGCAAACAGCTTGGAAAGAGACACCCGAAACACATCCAATGTCGTACGCTTCTTCCTGCCTCGGGACTTACCTTGCGAAATAACAACTGAAAAGTTTACTAGCTTTGGATCAAATGCCGTGTGGATTCCGCAGCTTCAGCAGCTGGACAGTCTGACTGCCACCTTTTGCAGGGAGGGCGAATCCATGTCAAGGTGTTCTCAGTGACATCGCGTGTGTCTGCGCGTACGCATCTGCGACATAAAGGTGTATCAATCTGTATGCCATGTATGCATGAAAATTGCATGCTCATGTTTGTATGTATGTATGTATGTATGTATGTATGTATGTATGTATGTCTGTATGTATGTATGTATGTAGGTAGGTAGGTAGGTAGGTAGGTAGGTAGGTAGGTAGGTAGGTAGGTAGGTACATATATACATAAATACAGACACTCACCGAATTATATAGAGAGAGATGAGGGACATGCATATGTATATTAAATAGAAGAATCTATACAATGTATATATATATACACATGTACAAAGATATATGCATACGGACATTCATATGTGTGCACATGCATACACTTTTGGGCAGACACGTATGTAAGCCTGTATGCAGAAATTAGTACATATAAGCAATCAGAGTCAGACATCTGCACACGCCATAGAAGCACGCAGCACGCAGCAAACACGAAGACCAAGAGAGCAGAGAAATACAGCAAACGGAGGGAGGGGGGAAACGGCCTAAACTGTTGAACGGCTGCTACATGTCGATCCCTCCGCACCGCAGCGAAGCGCTTCCGGAATATCACAATTGTCCACTTCTTTCAGATCGAGGATGCTGTACCTTGTTCTGGTTTCAGGGCGTGTCGGGTTTAGGACCCGGATTCTAAGTTCCGTGTTAGATCACAAGAGCCTTGCAAGCTAAGCTAAGCTTAGGCCCAGGATGTAATAGTGGGAGGGCTCCCATGAAAGCTTTCCGCACTACTTGTTCTAGGAATCCGAAGGATCCGGCTCTTATCTTGGGTCCTGTTGCGTCAAGGAGTCTACAACTTGGGCCCCTAAGAAAGAACCTGAAGAAGGGGTAAGGGTGGAAGCCGCTGAGGAAGTATCAACCTCACCAGCCGTAAACTACGATGCGCAGTTATAAAGACACGCCAACTTCCTTGAGCCGTCGGGAAAGTGCCCAGAGCCAAATAGGATAGGGTCCTGGTCATGGTCGATACATGCCGTGTGCCCCAATCCTTCGAACAGTGGTCCGAAGCAGGTACAAATACTCAAAGGGATGCTGTCAACCTAATTCTACCCTCCCGCCCACTCCCCACAGATGCCAAACTCTGGCTAAACGACCCCACAGATGCCAAACTCTGGCTAAACGATAAACTGCCTCCAGAACAGCACGCAAGGTAACGGCTGTGAGCTAGACCTGTGTAAACTTTCCCGTAACCCAAAGGCCCTTGAGCCCCCAAACCCTCAACATGAAGCACCAGCCCAAACTCCCGAAACTTCTTTCGAAACATTACCCAGAGAACCCAATACCCCTTAATTAAGGAATATGCTTTAAATCATAATATTAAGGCTCCTATAATTTTAGGTATTTTCCTCAATTAAGGAGTATTGGGTTCTCTGGGTAAGGCCTCTATATCCTAACGAAGACAATGCCGGGGGGCGCGTGGTAGCCTCAGGGAGGAGCTCGTTGGGTCTGCCCGTTTCGGCTTTGCTTGCTTAGGGTCATTTGATTCAGGGTTTAGGGTTTAGGGTTTTAGGGTTTTAGGGGTTTAAGGGTTTAGGGTTTGGGGTTTAGTTTAGGGCAGGTTTAGGGTTTGCTGAGTTTACTGTTTGGGATTTACGGTGTTGCGGCTTTGGTCGCAAAGCCACAACACGAAGGGGTAGGGGAGGGTAGCCCCTGCTGCTCGTCCACTTCTATTACGAGAAGGAAGTGGATGAAGAAGAGCTGCTACTATCGCCACTCGTACTCCCTTTCCGAGAAGTAGTACGTAGTACTTGTAGTCATTGCGCGACTATTGCCAACACTACTGATACCCGTTTGCATCCAGAGGCAAGTAAGTTCTAATGCAGCAGGGCAGTAAGGGTTCGGAGTACCTCCACTGATGCTCATTGAGAAGGAAGCTGCTCAGGACGGCGATTCTGATGATTATGATGCTGACGATGATGACTGCACAGATGATGATGATGATGATGATGACGATGATGATCACGACGACGATAGTGGAGGTGATGATGATGGCGGTGATGATGATGAGGAGGATGGAGATGCTGATGACGATGCCGATTCTGTTAATGGTTGTGATTCACGTGGCCGTGCTCATCATCACTCCCCGAAGCCCTTTCCTGTGCAGGCGTGGTGCCTACCAAACCGACCTCCGCCAACTCGGGATGACCCGCAGTGCCGCAGCCCATGGGCAAGCCAGACAAGTGGTAGCCAACCTCTGGGAGAACGCAGAGGAGCCCAGATCGCCAAACACTTTCACGCTGGCTTTGGTTTGCGGGGGCACGGGAGACTGCAGTAATTAATTAGTATTGCGATGGAGGGACGGTGTTGGGATGTCGTTGATAATTCATCCGACTGATCCCTGAGCTCAGGAATCCGGCAGCGCATCGGATGTTGTGTCAATGCACTCGAGCTGATGAGACTGCGCCCCTGGAAAACTTCCGGCTGTGAAAGGCATGTCTGTTTGCACCAACTGCTTTGAACGCCTGTTTGGTGATTCTTCCGTCTCGGCATAGCCCGACACCCCAAAAACCCTCGGATAGGTAAGCCTACTACTGCCAGGCGAGCAACAAGCTGTTCCCAGAGCTCTCCAGGTGACCTGTCTAGGTCTTCGAGGTCGATGCCTGCCGACTTGGTAGGTACAGGTATAGGTTGTAGGTCCAAGGGGGTACAAGGGCGATAGGTGAATTACAACCAGGCGAATTCGGACATAAACACTGGTCTATCTCGTTGACTTGCGGCAAAGGAGAGCAAGAGAGTGGATCCCAAGGGCCCTTAGAGCAACCCTAATCCGTCATCGTAGTGACTTAATTAGTAGTGGCTATATTCCTTCCTCCATTCCTTCCTAAGCACCAGTAAGTTGAAGTTACCGGATGTACAGTCTCCAGATCAGGGACGGGGTTTGGCTGTACCTCAAGCATCTACATCTCCGAAAGGTTTTGTATGATGAGATGCTGCACAGACATATCCCGTAATAGGTCAGATTTCAGAGGTGTGGTTTACATGTAAGCAACGACAGGAAAATCCTACTCAACACCTCCTGGAGCCTTGCACCAAAAAATCCCACGGTCAACACTCGAGACACCTCACCTTTGACCTCGAGATTTTAGGTCCTGGTTGCGTTGCGGGTCTTGGCATGGGTCCCTTAGGCGGTTTCAAGGAGTTGGGGGATGGGCCGTGGGCCTTCGGGTTTTTGTTGACTGGGCCGAATCTGACCAGTATGAGAATGAAACCGCGTCCTGATGGCACCCTGTTCAAGTATGATGAATCCTAGCAATCCCGATGTGTAATTTCGTCCGAAACAGGGCTTCATCTGAAGAATCTCTTTTACCTTCCGGCCACAAAACAGCAAAGGATGAAGAGAAACGAAGCTGGGAAGCTGGGCCTCTCTGTGCAAAAATAGGCGCCTTTAATGCGATTCCTGAGGGTTCCTTATACTATAAATCACTAGAATACATACCCTTCTTCGTATTACGAAGGCCCCCGTACTTGGAGGTTCATGGGGCTTAATAAGTACAGCTATAAATAAGTTGATTGCAGTTATAACAAGTAATTATAAGTGTAATTACATCATTTATAATCCTATAGATACCAAGTCCCCTGGACTTTTAAGTAGTACTGCAGGGCAAGAGACTTTCACAAGGTGCACCAGTCAGATCCAGCAAGGCCTGCGTCGGTGTATACAGTGGTGGATGGTTGCTCTGAAACTGTCATTGCGATTCAACTGTATTCGAAGGAAAATCATTCGAACAGGATTGAACACCAAATCCGACAGCCTGACCCGACCTTGGCTCCTCCCTTACCGGCACCCAGGGGCCGACCCACAATTCACCCCCGGATGCTCTGTGCAGTCGTAGAACAGGGAAGGTCCAAAATGTTGCTATGCCTCGCATTTGGCATACCCGCACCTGCCTAAATCCCAGCTTCTGAGCCCTATGAGGGGGGCAGCTGCAAGTCAGAGCCATCGTTGAGTTCAGACTTTGATCTTATTTAATACAGCAATTGTTGAGGATCCAGAAGGAACCGCCCCCCCACCCTGCTGAAGGGTTTGAAACCCTAAGCCCCTAAAGCGCTAGATCCCACACCTGAATACAACCAATTGCGCCGGAACAAAAACGAAGTCGCCTCGGCCACAGACCCTCCGCTGATCGCTTTGTAGGATCCATGAGCCTCTCAGCAATTCTGACGTCTTTGAGCGCATGAGGGTTTAGAGTTTAAACCCATGAGTCTGTGTACGCAGATGAAATGCGGCCTGGGCAGCAATGAACTTGATTTTGGCTCGTTGTAGCGGTAGCGTGTATCAATCAACCTCTGCGGACAAATTCTCTAGTCAATTGGTGAAGCTGATGATGACTTTGGTGGTGGCGGCAGTGGTGGTGGAGGTGGCGTGGTGGTGGTGGTGGTGGTGGTGGTGGTGGTGGTGGTGGTGGTGGTGGTGGTGGTGGTGGTGGTGGTGGGGGTGGTGGCGGTGTTGGTGGTGGTGTGGGCTCGAATGCCCTAGACCCACCGATGGGCCGAAAGAATCAACAAGACCTGCATATCACCTAAAGCCTTAAGACCTAAAACGCCCACTAGAAAAAAATACATACTATAACCGGCTATGATTAGTATATACAAGTACCATGGTAGACTGATAATAGACTAGCCCTTCTGGGTGCTCGTAGCAGCCCATCGCGGCTAAGAGTCATTGGAAGAGCAGCTCCAAATCTAGAGTCCTTTGCAAGTTCTAAAAGGCCAAGGCCGCCAAGCATACGCGATATCGTACATGTCAAATGCGTTTTGAAAACTTGTAAGGCTTAGGGTTAGGTTTGATGGTTTAAGGTCTTCTGAAATCATCAAAACTCCATTCAATTCAATGCCTTGGCGTACGCTTTCTCCACCAGAGGAACCCACAGTTGCCTGTCCTGGGAAAGTACATGCGCACACACACTGAAGGGGCTAGTCTGTCATAGTCGCTTATGGCAAATAGCCACATAGTCGATTTTCCGTAAATCCTAAACCCTAAACCCCAGGTCCAGGCTGTCGGTGTGAAAACATGAGGGAGGCCGGAGGATTAGCAAGTACACACTCTCTGAACCCAACCCTAAATGCCAGACCTTAGATTGGGGATTGCTGATGATACTAGAGCGTAGGGTTGCAAGGTCTCGGGTTTAGGGTGCTATATAGATCCTGAGCTCCGCGATGTAAGCTTGAGGAGTGGGTTCTGAGTTCTGAAACTTGGAACCATGGCACTGGATCATCATCGCAACACTGCAGTTATAATCTCAACCATATGAGAGTATATCGATAGAACAAATGGCGCGGAAACATCGCATGATTCGAACAATATCGCTCTTGCCGGCCCCAAACTAAAAACCGACCCCAAACTATAACCGAAACCCGAAACCCTAAACCCTACACCCGAAACCCCTGAACCAAGGTCTACATCTCCATCGGAGGCCAAGCGCTTCAGCCCACGGCGTCTCACGCATGCATTGCTTCTCCGAGGTCTCTCGAAATGTTGAACAAACTGGTAGAAGCAGAAATTACGGATGAGGCTGATAGATTGTCAAGTAGTGGTATATACAAGTTGCAAAGGTTTGTGTCATACAAAACGGTAGAGTGATGGTATGAGTACCACGGTACTGCAACCCTTCTCTTGCATGAAAAGCATGAAGCAGTCAGGTGCCGGGGCATCGAAATCCTAAACCCAAACTCAGGAACTCTGCACATCCAAGAGTTCGGCCATGCATGAACAAGCCCAAAAAACTTGAGCGTGTTTCGGTAGGCAAGATCCACAGGCCGTAAGCCCTTTCCCTCTAGTAAGGGAGTCGGAATACTCGTACTGATCTGCCCGTATAATTTTAACATAAATATGTTACAATACAGCAGAAAATACATGTTCATTCCTGGAAACAGAGCCCTGTGTCTATCATGACTGTTTGATATAACAGAAAACCCTAAACCCTAAACCCGCAAACCCCTAAACCCCCAAAGCTCCTAAACCCTATAAGGACCCATTGTTTTGTTAAACCCTAAACCCTAAGGACCCATTGCTTTGCGCCCGTCCTTCGCGCGGCTGAAAGCGAGCCCGCTGCCGTCTGGGCGACGCTGCGCTGCGGAGCCGATGCAGGGGAGCTGGTCATCAACCTGATCCATCGTGCTATGCCTGTATGTGTATATATATATATATATATATACATCCATATATATATATATATACATCCATATATATATATATATATGTATATATATATATATATATAAGTTTCTCGCCGGCCCCCTGAAATCCCAAAGCCTAGACCTGATGACCACCAGCCCACCTAGCCCAAACTCGTAAACCCTGGTAGTACCCTAAAACCTCAACCCAAAACGGTGAAGAAACCAAGTGTCGACAAGGTGCAACCACGGTGGTCCACTGGCCCTCCAAGAAAAGCTGGACCTTGGCGATAGAAGGAGAAGAAGGACACCCTAAACCCTAAACTCTAAACCCTATAGCAAACGCGGGAAAGAGCAATTCTGACGAAGGTTACAAGCTTTTAACCCTAAGCCCTAATCGCTAAACCCTGAACCTTCTAAGCTTAGGGAATGGGGCCTGCCGGGTCTCTGCCCTCAACTCCAAAACCCGCAAACCTTCAACCCCGGGTTCAGGATTTTCAGGATTTCAGACGTCAGGTTCATGTAATGTAGGGGGCCTTGAGAATTAGACTAGGGTTCTGAAATGCATTATACTATAGTTATAATATAAGGAACCTCTAAAATAGTACTCGTTATGATTTAGACCCCGAAAGAAGGCAGAAAGGTGAAGGGTTTGGGAGCAGCTCGGCTCGGAGGGAGATGAAGCCAGGTTGAAGGGCTTAGGGTACAGGGTTTGGGGTTGAGG